ACGCGTTTCGTCCTTATACAAAAAGGACTTCCTCAGGGACCATCTATTTCAATAAAATATCAATTGACAAATACACAGAGTAAACAGCATCCTAAAACGCTAACAATCAAAAGATCTTATATAGGGCTAATCCCTTCAAGTCATTGGTGGAATAGTGGGTGTCTTATCTTCCAATTCTAATTCGTCTAAATTTTCTCTCCCCAGGTGTAGCCGCTTTACCGGAATGAAATGGGTCCGTTCAACACATTTAGCCACTTCCGCGTACGTCATACGTTGCGCGTGCGTCACGTGGTAAAATGTTCGTCACATGACCTTTATGCGTTCCACGCTCGGAAGAAAAACATGGCCGTGCGTTCCATAGCATAATAGACTGAAAAGGCAATTTTCTTATACCTGGTGGTGATATGCGAATAACTAGAAATAAAAGACTATTAGAGATCATATTATAGTCTTATAAAAATCATGGCAACAATTAAATGTCCTCTAACAAATAGCTAACTCAAAACATAATTAAAATGAATGAAAAACAACTCCCTATCTAAGTTGATCATTCATAATATCTATTATAGCTTGTACAGAAAAGATATTTGATTATTAATAACTTCATATATTAACAGTGATATAGTGATATGTTAATATAACAACTAAACCATTAGAATGAATTAAACAACTATATCTAAATTACAGATCCATAATGTGTAAAGTGACATGAATATTTTGTAGAATATTGCATATTCTATGTTTCTATTGATTATATATGGATGTGTGGATTGACATAAGTAACAAATGGTATCAATAAGTCACAAGGCTTTCTTTGTCCGAGAGCTCTGGAATGTGGATTCGGGGGTTTTGTCCTTATATGGCTAGAATTATATGCTGACGTTACTATTAGCACTTCTATATAGTAACAGAGGGACACGAGGTCTCTCAGTCTTAGTCCTGTCTTGGCTTGGCTCTGTACAACGATGTAACTCTCCCATCAGAAGTCCAGCAATTACCATCTGCTGTTGAATGTCTATAATCCTGTAACATCATTTATTATGCTTTATTATGTATCCGTAACAAAGAATAAACCGGAAGAAACCGTAAGTCAGATTGCGTATTACTACTTTTCAATAATATAGACATATATTATTGTGGCGAGCATTTGGCCCAAGATTATATATACAAAAGACGTGTATATATATCAATCAACTGAAGATAAGAAGAAATTAAGAAAGAGTCTACATTAACATCCATTCATCTACATTTTTTTACATTGGCTAGCCTGCCAGTCTTCTATTCAAGTTTTGTTCCCACTTCAAGGGGGGAGAGAGAAGAATCGAGTTACAAAGCTATTTTGGAACTGGGAAAACAAACTTGAAGAGGAAAAAAAAGAATCTAGACTGTGGTTTGTAAGAAAAAGAAAGTTTTCAAATCACAAAGACTGTACAAGACTATTTTCTACAACTGATACAAAAAGCACAAGATACAACGTGAATTCTAGAAGCAAGCACGTGGCAGAGATTGGCAGTCATCCAAGCAAAGAACTGCGCAGCTGTGTGGATGAAGCAACGAAATAGACAGAAATAACTGATCTGGTAAAGCGTGACAGATCCATGTGGCAATAAATCAGGAAAGCATTCCTTCAGACAACTGGACATTGACTGTTGGAAAGATACTTTTTATCTGATCTGCAAACTGTGATGGAAGATTCTACAGAGTTCATTTGATACAGAAGATTAACAGACTTACAAAGAAATAAAAGATTGACACTAACATACATATATATTCCTAAATATTAATGAAGAAGAAAACAGACAATGAAAAGTTATTTAACAGTTATGAGTATTAATACCAAAAGAGACTACTTATATCTATATAACACATGGAGAACAATTACGAAAGGATAGTATTATGAAAATAACTATTACATTATTACCTATACATAGAATGAGAAGTATCAGAGGTAGATAAAATATGAAGTTGATAAAATAAGGATCATGGTTACTTAATTCTACAAAGATTGAGTTCAATAGATTTCATAGATTAATTATGATAATTAATTTGTTTATAATCGAGGTGAAGTAAAACAAACAATGGTAACATAAGGAAGAAAACTAAGGAAGGATAATTTATATTGATTAATATTAAGTAATGGTATACATTAAGAATGCCTTGGATATAAGAGT